CCCGCACCCAAGGTCACTCCGGCGAAAGGTCACTCTTACGTCTAGTCGATATTTCTTCCCTTGACCTTGGGAGGCTCAGAATTTGGCACCAGCACCAACATCGGCGGCCGCCTCCACCGGGGGGAACCTGATCCCGATTTCGGTGCTGGTGGCAGTATTCGGAGGAGGAGACGGATGATGATGGGGAGGAGGAGGACGAAGAGGAGGATGAGGCGGAGGAGGAGGAGGCGGAGGAGGGGGAGGAGGAGGAGGAGGGAGGAGGAGGAGGAGGAGGAGGAGGTGGAGGAGGAGGAGGAGGAGGAGGAGGAGTAAGGTCACACATTTCAGGGGCATGTGCGTCGCTGCCCCCCAAAAAAGAGGAGGAGCCCTTGATTTAGGGCGCCCCGACATCGGCGGAGAGCGCCGCCGCCGCACCGCCTGCGCTGGCGGCGCGGGCCGCGGCGCCCGCGCCTCCTCCCGCGCGAGGCGCCGCCGCCGCGGCGGGCCTGCGGGCCCGCGGGCCCGCGCGCAGCGGAGGCTGGCTCCCTCCGCGGGCGCGTGCCCTCGGAGCCCGGCCGGGGCATGCCTGAGCCGGCACGGCTACGGCGAGGCACCTCCCCCTCCTCCTCCTCCTCCTCCTTCTCCTCCTCCTCTCTCCTCCTCCTCCTCCTCCTCCTCCTCCTCTTCCTCCTCCTCCTCCTTCCTCCTCCTCCTCCTCCTCTCCTCCTCCTTCAGTCCTCTTCCTCCTCCTCCTCCTCCTCATCCTCCTCTTTCAGTCCCTCTTCCTCCTCCTCCTCCTCCTCCGCCTCCTCCTCGTCCTCCTGCTCCTCCTCCTCCTCCTCCTCCTCCTCCTCCTCCTCCTCCTCCTCCTCCTCGCTCCATCCTGAGCCAAAACGGCTACGGCGAGGGCACTGGATAAGGAATCGCTGGGTACCCAGACTCCTCGCGCTGTGAAAAAATCCCGACGGGAGGCTTTTTGCTACTTTCGGCCCTGGGAGCCCTTTCTGGGCCTCGGGGCCGTCAAAAAACGATTCTGGATGAAAAACCGGTCCCTGGAAAGGGGTCCAGACCTCTGGGGGTCGCGTCATGAAAAAATCACGACGTCGGGGGTCTGGGTAAGGAACCCAGGGTGTGGAGGCCCGTGGTATTCCAGTCGTGGATTGGCTATGGATATCACCACCGCCCTCATTTGACAAGGAATCGCTGGATAAGGAATCGCCCTCCAGGGCGCTGGAACAGGAATCGCTGCTGGGTAAGGCATCCAGGGTGTGAAGGCCGGTGGCATTCCAATCGTGGATCGGCCATGGCTATCGCCACCGCCCTCATCGGATAAGGAGCCCTGAATGGCCGTGAGCCTCCCGGGCACATTCCTTCATCCACGCCCCTACCGCACGGCGGCATGAGTTCGGCCAATGCTGTGCCACTGGATGCTTCGGCAGCGAATGAGACTACGAGAGCTATACACATACGCCGATCCTGGCCAGGCCCATCCTTGCCCAACGATCGGTGTACACGCCCTCCTGGCTTGGCCAGGAGCGCCTGAACACCAATCGTGGGTGCAGGATTGGCTTGACCAGGATCGGTGGAGGAGTATTTTGAGGGAGTTTCTGTGGAACTCACGTCATCCTTACCCCTGGCGCGCGGGAGAGTCGCTTCCAAACGCACCTCCAGGGACCATTTCCCGCGCTGCACCGGGCGCGCCGGGCGTGTCCCAACCCGGCGCCCTCGCTCGAGAGATCCTCGCAAAATCGCCACACGGGCCCCCAGCGCACCTCCATGGGACCATTTCCAGCGCTGCACCGGGCGCACCGGGCGCGCCGGGCGTGTCCCAACCTGGCGCCCTCGCTCGAGACATCCTTGCAAAATCGCCCCACGGGCCCCCAGCGCACCCCCAGGACATCCTCGCAAAATCGCCGCACGGGCCCCCAGCGCACCCCCAGGGACCATTTCCGGCGCTGCACCGGGCGCGCCGGGCGTGTCCCAACCCGGCGCCCTCGCTCGAGACATCCTTGCAAAATCGCCACACGGGCCCCCAGCGCACCTCCAGGGACCCCCAGGTGATCCCCGCCCGCCCGATCCTCACACTCCCTGATCTTCATTCTCCTCATCCTCGCTCTCCCGATCCTCACCCGCCGCACCAACGCCACCCGCTCATTCTCACTATCGTCATCGAGCACAGGCGCACGCGCCTTTTCTCTATATACAGAAACTACCGATCAACCGCAGAGCGGCCGGCTAGTATTGTGAGCGCATCCCGAGGGAAAGGCTCCCACATCAGCTTGTGATACGCGCGGAGACCAAGTGTGACCCGGCGGGCTCTACAAGTGAAGCTTGGCAGCACCGCCACCGTGCGTGCCGCGAGGCACTGAGCGGAGTGTCTGCGGGTCCCTTCGAGCTCTCTGTGCTGAGAACTGCAGAACTTGCTGCGGGGGCCCACGCCCCCTGTTGTTGTTCTGGGCGTTCCTGATGTACGTCCTGCGACTGTGCTAAAGGCCTTCGGGAGCGCGCCTGGTGGCGAAACCTCGAACATGCTCTATGTTGGTCCAGGGGGCCTGTGCTGGCGCAATCCTGGGGGCCTCTTCGGCCTTCTTGGAGGCGGGGCCAGGCCAGAAGGCCAAACGCACTGAACACCCAATTACTTTGATGCTGCCATCTTCCACGACCACCCAAGAGGCCTCAAAGACCGCCCAAAGAGGGCCCCACGTCCCGAAGAGGGACCCAAGACGGCCCCAAAATGGATCCCAAAGAGGGAGCTCGGGGGAACTGTTTTTTTATCCCCCTCGGCAATTTTTGGTTCCCCCCCTCCGTGGTCGCACCCTTTAATGTTTCCCTCGCGCCCTCTTTCTCCCCTCGCACCCTCATCTTTCTCCCCCTCTGCAGGAGTGCAATATCTACATCTATATCTATATATCTATCTATCCATCTATATATATATATATGTATAGATCGTTTCCCCCCTCGGGAGGTGGAACATCGACCGTGGGGCCGACGAGGCCCCAGAGCTCCATCAATGGCGCCCGGATGGTGTCGTCTTGAAAACCTCGCTGCCACCGTCAACGTCGTCATCCCTCCTCGTAGTCGTCGTCGTGGTCGTCGTCGTCGTCGTCGTCGTAATCCTTGTCGTGATCTTCGCCATCCTCCGACTCTCGTCGTCGTTGTTCGTCGACGTCATCGTCGCTTGACGTCATCGCCCGTCATCGCCCGTCGTCGTCGTCGCTGTCGTCTTCGACCTAGACGACGTCGTCGCTAAACGGCGTCGCCGTCGTCATTCGCATTCCGCGTCGCTCGGGACTCGTCTTATCTCGTCGTCATCGTGACTTCTCTAATAGACGTCACCTCGTGGTCGCCGTCACTCGTCGTCACTCGTCCATCGTCGTCGCCACTAATCGTCTTCTGTCGTCGTCACCGTCATCGTCATCGGTCGTCGTCGTCGTCGTTATCGTCACTCGCCGTCGCGCGTCGTCCTCCGTTACTTGTAGTCGTTTCTCGTTCTCGTCACTCGCACGTCGTCGTCGCCTCTCGTCGCCGCGCCTCGCGCCATGTGCCGCCCCCTCGTCCAGGCCAACTGTGGTTGCACTACAGTGATGGCATTGGATAAGGAAGCCTTCGATAAGCAATCCAGGGTCTGGAAGCCAATGGAGCTCCAATCCTGGATCGGCCATGGATATCACCGCCGCCCTCATTGGATAAGGAATCCTCCAGGGTCTGGCGCCTCCTGGGACTATTCCTTAACAAACGCCTCCACCGTATGACTATAGCGAGCGCGCGCCGAAAAATCATGGCAAGCGTCTGAGTGCACTAAAATGGCAAGCGCGCCGAAAAATCATGGCGCGCCGAAAAACCATGGCAAAAACTGAACCAACTCACCACCTGGCCGACCCCAACGTAACACGTAAGACCCGTGGGGGCCACCCGGAAAGAAAGAACTTCTGGGGCGCACCGGAGAACGGAAGACCCGGGGGTTACCCCCATCTCGAATGTCGTGAGAGGAATGAGCTCTCAGCAGCCGCGAGGGTGCTCGCGCGTGGAGTTCCACCCCCCCGCCCCTGGCGCAACCAGAGAAGGAAAAGCGCGAGAGCCCAGATTGCAAACGCAATGCAGCAACACTCTGAAAGTAGTTGTATGGAACGAACGCGCCCCATGCGCTGGACTTCATTGAGCGACGGACGGCGCGCCCCCAAGTCAAGTGGTGGCCGCGACGAACGACGGGACGAACCTGGATGACTTGCCCACAACCACCATGGGCGGACGAACGACGGGCGAACCTTTCGTGACTCACCCACTTGCAGCTGATCAAACTCTCCTCATGCTGTACTTCAAAGACCAGGCGCACTCTAGTATTAGTTAGCTGCACGTTCAAAAATGCGAGTACCACTTGTACTCAAGTAACAGCTGCACTCGAATCGGAAGGGTACAGAGGCTCCACCAGTGGCAAGGCGCGCGCAGAAGAAAGAAAGAAATCCACGCGCCGCCAGTGGTCCAAGGTTTGACGGGTCGCCGCGAAGAGGGACCCCCCGCGGAAGGAAGGCAAGACATCCGGGGGAGGGGGTTAGGGTCGAGGCATGAGTCGGGAAGGTGATGTGAACTCCCATTGGTTTCGATACAGACGGCCCAGGAAACAACCAAGACGGCCCAAGAAGGACCCAAGAGACCACCAGGACGGCCCGCGAGGGTGGCCCGAGGCCGGAGGCTAGAAATCGCGTCGGAGGAAGGCTCCGAGCGTCTCCACCGTGGCCATCGTCGCCGTCCGACGCCGCCACCGCCGCCGTCGCCGCCGCCGCTGACAACGACGACGATGACGACGATGACGACGACGACGACGATGACGACAACACCGACGACGCTGACCACGCCACCAAAGACGACGACGACGGCGACGACGGCGACGGCGACGACGACGACGACGACGGCGGCGACGGCGGCGACGACGACGACGGCGACGGCGACGACGCCGCCGCCGCCAACGATGCCGAGGACGGCGGCGGCGACGGCGGCAACGACGCTTCGGCGACAGGGACAGCGACGGCGACGGCCCCGCCGTCGCCATCGGCTGCATGGGCTGGGCCAGGAGGTACGGCGGGGCCCCCAGCGGGAACGCCGGGGACATGCTCACGGGGAACGACGTTGGGCAGCCGAGGGTGCCCACGGAGTGGCCCACCTGGTGGGGCCAATAAGGCCCTGGTGCCTTCCCCCGCCCTCCGCCTCCGCCTCCTTATCCTCCTTACCATCCGTGTTGCCCTCTTCCTGCTGCACCTCCGCCTGCCTCTTCCTCCTCAGTCTTTCCCTCTTCTCCGCATTGTTATGCTTCCTCTTCTTGTCGCTGTTAGTTGTCTTGTTCCTATTCTTCTGCACTGGGACCAAAGGCCTCGTGAACTGCCCGGTGGGTTTTCTTCTTACTCGTATTCTTGTTATTGCTATCATCTTTGTTGGTACTATGAATGAATACTGGTTTATCATGATATTATTATTGGGCTTATTGTTTCCATTGTGATGACGTGTTGTGACTCGTCCTATGGTAATGAGGGTTGTGATAATGATGACGATGATGATGATGAAGAGGATGATGTTGATAGTGGTGGTGACGATGATGATGATGATGATGATGACGGTGATGACGATGACGATACTGATGATGGTGATGACGATGGTGATGATGATGACGATGACGACGATGATGACGACGATGATGATGATGACGATGATGGAAATGATGATGACGACGATGATGATGACGATGATGGAAATGATGATGACGACGATAGCAATGACGATGACGATGCTGGGGATGATGATGCTGACGAGGACGATGATGAGGATGACGATGACGATGATGCTGATGATGCTGATGATGAGGATGATGATGATGACGGTGATAATGCTGATGATGACGATGATGATGATGACGATGACGGTGATGACGATGATGATGCTGATGATGACGATGCTGATGTTGCTGATGATGGTAATGGTAATGATGATGAAATATATTATGGTAATGATGACGGCGATCACGATGACGATGATGATGACAATCTTGATGAGGATGATGATTAGGCTGATGATAACCGTGACGTTGATGACGACGATGATGATAATGATGATACTGATGGTGATGATGATGCTGATGATGATGATGATGGTGACGACGATGATGATGATGATGATGATGATGATCTGGATGCTGATGATGAGGATGATGATGACGATGATGATGATGACTCTGATTCTGATTATGATGAGGATGCTGATGATGATGATCATGCTGATTGGTGATGCTGATGATGATGACGATGACGATGACGATGACGATTATGATGATGATGCTCATCTTCATGATGATGCTGATGCTGATGCTGATGCTGATGCTGATGATGGTGATGGTGATGCTGACGATGACGATGATGATGCTGATGATGACGATGACGATGATGATGATTATTATTCGTACTGATATTTTTGTTTTATTAATATTGTAGCACCGTGGTAGGCCAGAACTGGCGAGGCGACACGCTACGCCAGAATTCCTGACCGTAGACACCAATGCTTGCGGTAACACCTGCTTTCCGTGACGGGCCAAGTGGAAGTGCCGCTTCAGCAGAAAAGGGGCCCAAACGGACGACCAACTTGCCAATTTTGCCCGCGCTGCAACCACCAATGGTGCTCAAACCGGCCACAAGCTCCACACTGCCATACATTAGCCGACGTCTCGACATCCCAGAGAGGTCTGGAGAAAGTGGCAGCCGCGGTGCAAGGCTCTTCCCGCCCCGCCCTCACCCCGTGTTTTCCCATAGTTCCCATGATGGAGACCCGAGGGTAAGTGTGATGGGTTGCAAGATCTGCCCGCGACGAAAAACAGATTTTAGAATCAACCGATGCGCCGCCCGCTTCACTCTGGCTCGTCAATGTCAGCATTGTTCCGCCGCGCGGGAGGCAGAGGAAGCAGAGGAGGAGAAGGAGGAGGGGGAGGAGGATCAGGAGGAGGAGGGAAGACAGAGGGAAAGGAGGATGAGGAGGAGGGAAGACGGAGGAGGAGAATGAGGAGAAGGAGGAGGAGAGGGATAATGAGGGGGAGGAGGAAGAGGAAGAGGAGGACGAAAAGGAGGATAATGAGGGGGAGGAGGAGGAAAAGGAGGAAGAGGAGGGAAGACGGAGGGGAAGGAGGAGGAAGAGGAGGGAAGACGGAGGAGGAGGAGGAGGAGGAGGAAGAGGAGGACGAAAAGAAGGATAATGAGGGGGAGGAAGAGGAGGAGGAGGAGGAGGAGGAGGAGGAGGAGGAGGAGGAGGAGGAAGAGGAGGAGGAGGAGGACGAGGAGGAGGAGGAGGAGGGAAGACGGAGGAAGAAAAGGAGGAGGAGGAGGGAAGACTGAGGAGGAGGAGGAGGAGGAGGAGGAGGAGGAGGAGGAGTGAAAGTAGCCTGAAAGGGACGGGAAGAAGAGGGTAAGCGTGCACGACGCGAACAGAAAGCAAATGATGGCTGTCCGCTCGTCCTTGCGGTGCACCTAACTCATCGCCACACCAGTGCTCTAGCTGCGGGCGACGCTTCAGCAATGTGTGCTGGCGACGGCGCTGCAAACTGCTTCATGTTGTTGCACACGTGAAACGCAAGCACGACCCTGCGAACCGTCTGGCGCAACGAGAGGTCGCGCCCATGCTCGGAAGTGTACGCGGCTGCGGGGCCCAGGCCCCAAGTCGCAAGTGTGCTGAGGAGCGGGGGAAGTCGAAGGACCAGAGAAGGCGCTAGAGGACGGAACAGAAACAATGATGAAACGAATCGGGAGCACCCGGGCACCCGAACACACATGGCTTCGGAGCGAACGCGTGCATGCGGTGGGTGGTGATCCACCCGCCGTTGAGAGTTTTGAGGACCGCCCAACGCCTACTAGGGCGGACCTTTGGCCCAGCGCCGTGGGAACAGCAGCGCCTAGTGAGCTCTGGAAGCGGCGGCGGCTGTTGGATGCCCAGCGATACGAGGCGCTTCTGAAGAGTGGCGGTGGATGGTGAGGAACATGAAGCACGCGCGAAAGCACGCGCGACCGCCCGCTGCACCTTCGGGCGGCGAGGTGGCTCGGCGGCAGGGGCCTCTCGAATTTCCTGAGCGGCGGCGCGGTTCGCGGCGGCCACGGCAGCAGCAAGAAACGGGGCGGCACGCTGTCCACGCGAGGGTGCGCGGTAGAACTGCAAAATGGACACGGGCTCTTCCCAGAAGGGAGGGGGCCAGTGACCCGCGACCCACCTGTGGTGGGAGTGCACCGTGCTCTCCTCCCAAGCAGTGTCTTGGAAACGGGCGCGGAATGGTTCCCGTGGTCCGCGCAACGTGAAAGAGGCCGAGCGAATTTCAGAGGCGGCGGCAGTGACTTGAGCTGAACGTGGGACAGGAGGCGGGCACCATTCCGCCATGGCGATTAGGTCTACTTTACGAAGAAAATTCGGCGGCAGGCTGAGCATGTTGTGAAACATATTAAGTTCTCAGCGGGCAATCTTCAGGTCCAGCGGAAAAACTGGGCGACGTAACTGAGTGTGGACAGGACAGAAGTGTTGTATAGATGCACGATGGCAGTACTGCCACTCGGGACTACATTGAGGAGGTTGCCACGATGCCACCATTCTTGCCCAGGGGCGAGCCATTGCGAAGCAATAAAGGCCGAGGGTCCAAGGAGGGCCCCGAGGTATTCGGCTCGCCCGGATACCGAAAAACCACCCCACGCGGGACAAAGATCGACCAGGAGCGCTTCCGTTTGGGTTGTGGCGGCAGGGGTAGGAGGCGTCCAGGGCGGAACGACGACACATGTTCGTGGCTCGAGAGAGAGGAGCGCAAGCTCCTCAGCAGCAGCGAGTGGCTCAGAGGCACGACGCAGCATGCAGAACGAGAACGTGAGCAGGCCCATGTCGTCAGCGCGGCCGCCCAAGTAGCCCTTGTCGTAGTCGGGCGTGCCGCCAGCGTGCTCGACGAAAGAAGCGATGTGACGGACGATCGGGTCCATCGCAATGGCCCAAGCCGACCCACTGGCACGGCATCCTTTCGCCGCGCCAGACTCGATCGCGAACGCGAAGTGGCGAGCGCCATCGACCTTGACGAAGCTGCTCGGCGCGAAGCACAGGTTGCGGAAGAGGCCTAGAAGGCCAACAGGGACCCCGAAGCAATCCAGCGAAGCGAAGATCCAGATCCGTCCAAGCGACGGAAACGCCGCAGCAAAGTCGAGGCTGGCGAAGACGGGCCTGTGCAACTCGGCGTCGGGCCTGACTCCAGCTCGCCGCATCTCGGCATCAAGGCGCGCGATGTGCCTGGCGGAGTTGCGGCCGACGGCAAACCCTTGCTGCGCTTGGTGGACCCGCTCTGCCACGGCGGGCTTCAGGGGGGAGATTGGCGGCCCCGGCGATGAATTTGATGTATATTTTCTTCGAGGAAGGCGGCCGCGTGTCCTCTGGAGCTCTGTCCGTCGAGACCTCGCCAGTAAGGTTGTCGCCCTTCAGGAGGAACGCGAAGTCGGAATCGTCGAGGTCGCGGATGAAGTCTTTGCTGGAGCAAAAGTGGGATGAGAGGTCCTCCGGCAGGTCGGGTGGCGAGTCGCGGGCGAGCCAGGCACGGCGTGGCAGGCAGTCGGGGCCTGGAGGATGGCGAGGCGCAGGACAGGAAGGCGCGGATATGGTTCTTCGTCGGCGCGCCGACGTCAATGGTGGGGCCGTGCGGCACGCGCTCGGCGACGTACTGCGTGACCTTCGGTTCGTCAGCGCCCTCATGCTTGGAGACGGGCTGCCAGTGCGCGGAGGGCGGCCGCCGCTGAGCAGCTCTCCCTTGCAGACCCCGGAGGGCCCTGAGGGCCAGTGATTTTGATTCCCTGCAAGACCGGACGGCGCTTCCATAGGGCCCGCAGGAGGGCCCTGCGTTGCGAGGAAAGGAAGAGCCGACGGAGTTTCTCGGGCTCGATGCGGAAGCTGGGCGGCTCGCTGAGCCAGAGAGAGCTGCCCATCCTCGAAGCAGCGCGGCGGACTTGAGGGCAAACTCGGAAGCGCTCGCGAGCGTTATGTGGCCGTCTGAGGGCGAGAGGTACTTGGCGCCGAGCTCGGCGGTGGACTGGAGGCGGCGGGCGAGCGCGGAGTCCCGGCGCCGGGTCGCCTTCGAGATCGAACGCGCGGTAACCACCTGGCCGTCAGCGAAGT